CTTTAGCCTCTTTACCCCCCTCTCTGTGCTAACACACACTGTCTTATTTTGCTGTAGTTTTAAGACTTCATAAATCTAAAAGTTCTGAATAACAAAAGTTGTCTTAATTTCTACTAATAAAAGTTTCCCACATTGTCCTTAAAAAATCATTTGCCTGTTCTTGACTGTTCTCCATCAATGTATTGTAGAATCACTTTGAGCTCTTAATCTGTTGGGATTGTTATTGAAATTGCTTTGCATTTTTGGGCAACAAATGACATCTTTGTCATAATGGGTTTCCTACTATGAACATAGAATGTATTGTCATTCAATGTAGCAGGATACAAAATTAACACCAAGAAATCTATGGCATTTCTATATACCAATAGTGCATTTACAGAAAAAGAAACTAAAAAAGCAATACCATTTACCATCCTACCAAAAAAATTAAGATACCTAGGAATAAACTTAACTAAGGAGGTAAAAGACCTATATGAGGAAAACTATAGGATACTGAGAAAAAGACACAGAGGAAGATGTAAACAGATGGAAGAACATACCAAGTTCATGGATTGGTAAAATCAACATCATTTTATGTTGTTTGGATATTTAATCTATCCAAAACTATAGATTCAATGCACTCCCCATTAAAATACCAACAGCATATGTCACAGACATAGAAAGAACTCTCCAAAAATTCATCTGGAATAAAAAATAAAAAAAGACCCTAATAGCCACAGCAATCCTGAGAAAGAAGAATAAATTAGGAGGGATCTCAATATCATATTTCAAGCTGTATTACAAAGTCACTGTTCTCAAAACAGCCTGGTACTGGCACAAGAGCAGACATATAGACCAATGGAATAGAGAATCCAGATATCAACCCAGACCACTATGCTCAATTAATATTTGACAGACAAAGGAGGCACGAATATACATTGGAGTCAAAACAGTCTCTTCAATAAATGGTGTTGGAAAAATTGGACAGATACATGCAAAAGAAACTAGAACACCAACTTACACCATACACAAAAATAAACTCAAAATGGATATAGGACTTAAACATAAAATGGGAAACCATAAAAATACTAGAGGCATCCACAAGCAGCAAAATCTCAGACATACCCTGAAAGAACTTCTTCACTGATACTGCTTCTAGGGCAATGGAAGCTAAAGAAAAAATAAACAAACATGACTCCATCAAAATAAAAAGCTTTTCACAGCAAAAGAAACAATCAAGAAAATAACAAGAAAGCCCACTGTATGGGAGAACATATTTGCAAATGTTATCACTGATAAAGGTTTAATTTCCAACATCTACAGCTTATACAACTTAATAAAAGGAAGAGAGATGATCCAATAAAAAAATGGGCAATGGACCTAAATAGAATCTTTTCAAAAGAAGACAGAAGGAAGGCCAAGAGGCACATGAAAACATGCTTATAGTCACTAATTATCCTAGAGATGCAAATCAAAATGACAATGCGGTACTATCTCACACCTGTCAGAATGGCTATTGTCAACAAATCAACAGAAAACAAGTGTTGGCGAGGATGCTGAGAAAAAGGAACACTCATGCACTGCTGATGGGAATGCAGTCTGGTGCAGCTATTGTGGAGAACAGTAAGGACTTTCCTCAAAAAACTAAAAATGGAACTCCCATTTGACCCAGTAATTCCACTCCTAGAAATATATCCTAAGAAATTAGAAACACCAAACAGAAAGGACATATGCACCCCTATGTTCATATCAGCACAATTTACAATAGCTAAGATTTAGAAACAGCCTAGGTGCCCATCAGCAGATGACTAGATCAGAAAACTATGGTACATCTACATACACAATGGAATACTATGCTGTCATAAAAAGAAGAAATTCTTACCATTTGTAGCAACATGGATGGAACTGGAGAACATTACGCTAAATGAAACAAGCCAGTCAATGAAAGAAAAATTCCACATGATATCACTTTTTAATGGATAATAAAGAACTTTATAAACTGATGAACAACTAGATACAGAGGCAGTAAAGCATCATACAGACTGTCAAATTACAGTGGGAAGGTAAGGGAGAGGTGGGGGAGATAAGAGATCAACTCAACAACTTGTATGCCTGCATATAAGCATAACCAATGGGGCACAAAACACTGAGGGGGGGAGGGCATGTATGGGAGGGAGGGCTATGGTAAAATATATACACATATAATACCTTAATGGAGAAAAGAATGTATTGCCATTTATTTAGGTCTTCCTAGATGTATTTCATTAAAGTGTTATGTTAGAGTAATAATTAAAATCTCATTTTGACTGTTTCCACTCAAATAGGAGTATAGTTTTCCCATTCAGATAGAGCTTCATCTTGCATCTGGCTTCCTTTCTCTTGTGATAATATATACATATACATACATGTACATATATATATATATATACATATATATGTATATGTATAGCACTATTTTTTAGTGTCTGAACAGTATTTAGTTATATGAATGTGTTGTATTTTATTTAAGAAAACTCGTCTTTGATAGAATTTTATGTTGTTTCATTTTGTTTTGTCTTAGATTATTACCCAAAGATATGTTTGTGTTGTTGTTGTTGTTGTTGTTGTTTTTTTGAGGGGGGGTGGAGAAAGAAACATTGATGATCAGTTGCCTCTCATATGTACCCTGCTTAGGGATCAAACCCACAACCTAGGTATGTGCCTTGACCTGGAATTAAACTTACAACTTTTTGGTGTATGGGATGACACTTCAACCAACTGAGCCACCTGGCAAGGCTATGTTGTTCAGTATTTGTTGTAATTTAAAATGTTGTAGAAAACATCTTTATACATCATTATGCCCTTGTGAGAATATAACTATAGGGTAATTTTCATGAAGTGAAATTTCTGTTGAAAGAGTACATATATTGCCATGACCAGTTTAGCTCAGTGGATAGAGTATCGGGCCATGGACTGAAAAGTCCTGGGTTCCATTCCAGTCTAGGGCTTGCACCTTGGTTGCAGGTTCAATACCCAGTGGGGGTCATGCAGGAGGCAGCTGACCGATGTTTCTCTCTCACCGATGTTTCTAACTCTCTATCCCTCTGCCTTCCTCTCTGTGAGAAATTAATTAAAAAAATATTTTTTTAAAAAAAATACATGCATTTAAAGTTTACACATCTTTGTATAAATACCACAAATACCACATAAATACCACCTTTGTATAAATACCATAAATCTCACTTAGGACAAGTGAGATTTACTATGTCGTGGCTATGGAAGACAGAAAGTCGAGATGAAGATTTTGACAGATTGGTTTCTTCTGAGGCTGTGGGGAGAATCTGTTCCTGCCTCTCCCCCAATTTCTGCTGTTGCCAGAAATCCATGTATATGAATTTTTTGTTCGATGTGTTCAAATAACCCCTTTTTGTAAAGACACAGGTCATATTGGATTAGAGCCCATCTTGACCTCATTTTAATCTGATGATCTCTGTAAAGACCCTTTTCCCAAACGAAGTTCTATTTGGAAACTGTGGGGATTAGGACTCTAACATATCTTTCTGGGGAGACACAATCCAATCTGTAACACTCCAATATTCATTTGATTGCCTTTCTAAGGTCCAGTCACAATCTGTTCAGACCAATGCTCACTTGGTAATCTTGAAGCAGTGAGTTTCATTATAACACAGGGTATGTTTTTGTAACATAGAATATTGCATAAACAATTTTTCATTTCACATTACAATTACCTGTTAATATAAATTGGGACTACATGTTGGGAGCGGCTCAAAATAATTACTTATAAAATCTTATTTTGTAGGTGTGTATGCGTAGGCCAGCCATCAGTGAGGTTGTATCCTGTGGGAACATACCAGTATGTGGCAATTACTGGATCTAACAGCATCTATTCTTCAGATAGATCAAAACACTTTAACCTCCCACCCAGTGCCTCAGTTTCCTGCACAATCACTGTAAGGTTAATAATACCCAACATTTTCCCCAAGATCACAGAACTGCTGTGGTGAGTCAAATCAAGGTATATGCAAGGAGTGTGTTTGTGTCAGTAGCTTCTCATCATCACTGTTTGTTTTGGTTCAGTTGGGTTGTCCTCTTAATAAAGAGATATTTGGTTAACTGCAGAATCCGCTGTGCTGTGGACAGTTTTTGGTAAACTTCTGGTGGCTTTTCATCACGCTATGGACCTCCACATTGCTGCCAATGCTTTTATATGTTGAGTCTGATCACCCATAGCTACCTAGCCTTTCTTTAGAGCCTGGAAGAAGAGGCAGAGAGATTTGAGTCCCTTTGCGTTAGTGGGCCAGGGGAAGAAATGAGGGAGACAGAGAGGAGGCCATGCTCTGAGAGCTGAACTCAGACGTGGGCACTGCCTTCTTCCCAGCTCCACCCACCCACGCAGCGTCCAGGTGTGGTTCCTCTGAGATGCCCCCGGGAGCCCACAGCGCGGTGCGGGCCCATCCACTCATGCTCTGCCCTCCTTAAGCCTATCCGTGGGGTTCAAGAAAGGCCCGTGAGTAAAGTCTTAGAAGTCATGTGTGTTGTCTTCTCAGACACACAAGGGAGAGGAGTGAGCTGCCTTGCGCAGGCTTGTCCCTCAGCTCCGGAGACCCGCCAGGCACCTGATCAATCCCAGCTCCTCATCTGCACAGCCCAGCCCCGCGCTAGCACAGGCCCGCCCCTCGTTGGGCTCCGCCCCTCCTCGGGTGAGCCCCTTCCAGCTCATTCAGCCAATCCCGCCACTCGCTGTGCCTCGACGCCCCGCCCCCGGGCTCCGTAGTCCGGCCCCGCCCCTTCACGTAGCCTGAGGTTCTGCCCTCCGCCAGCCGTGGAGGCCCCGCCCACTTCCTGCGAGTTCCTTCCCAGGGCCCTAAACCCGCCCCGTAGCAGCAGGAGCCCGCCCTTTTCCTCCGCCGGCCTATTGGAGAGGGCGTCGCCGTGGGCGCCAACCAATGGGATCACGGCTGGCACAGTGCGTGGGGATAAGTGGGTCGCCCCGCTGACCCTGTGCTGGTCACACTCACGCCATGTGGCGCTGCAGCCGGAGGGTCCCCTTGGCGCTGCGGCTGAGCCGCGGGTGAGACGCGGAGCGGGCGGCTGGAGGGAGGGGAGGCGGGAAAGAGGGGTGGGCGGCGGGCGGGAGCCTGGCGGTGGGGAGGTGGCTGGAGGCTTCAGGGTCTCCTTGGGTAGAAGGTGCAGCATCACAGCTCTCTGCTTTGGGGACTCCCGCCCTCCCTTCTCTCCTCCCCCCCCAAACTCCTCGCCGTTGGCTCCAATACCCCAAGACTCCTCCTCTGGGGCTCCTGTTCCCCCTGACCCCTCTCCTGGGGTTCCAGAACTCCTAGACCCCTTCGCCTGGGCCTCTCGGACTCCTAGATGCCCACGCCAGGGACTCCCAGACGTCTAGGCCTCTCGTCCAGGGCTCTGTGCCCCGAAAACCTTCTGTAACTTTTGTACCCCAAAACCCCGAAAACCTTCTGTAACTTTTGTACCCCAAAACCCCTCTCCTGGGATTCCTGGACTCCTAGACCCCTCGGGGCTCCAGTATCCAGAGACATCTCGCTTGGGGCTCTCATACCCTGAAACCCCACTCCGAGCCATATTTCAGGACTCGTCATCCATGGCTCCCGTATCCCAAGACTCCCTCACCCCGGGGTTCTCTACCCCCAGATCACTCGCCTGGGGCTCCTGGACTTCTAAGACCCCTCTCTTGGGGCTCCTGTACCCCAAAATTCCGCTCCTGGGGCTCCTGTACTTTTAGATCCCTCTCCTGGGGTGTTTATACCCCGAGACCCCCTCAGGGTAGGCTCCAGTACTCCTGGACCTTCCTGTGGGCCCCAGTACCTTGTTTAGACCCCTCATCTGGGGTTCCTGAACTCCAAGACCCAGAACCCCAGCCTGAAAACCCTTTCAGGGCCTGAGAGACAGATATTCTTAAGCTCCTCCTGATGGGAGTGCATGCTCCCTCCCATGGCTTCCCTGCCCAGCAACCTACCCCCCAGCCACCCCCAAGAAGGGAGTTGCTGTCCAGGAACCAGGGTTGGGGTGATGGCAGAGAGGTTAGTGTGTAGTAAAGCAGGGCCAGGCCCAGGGAGCTTGTGACCCCCTTTCCTTTGGGGCCTCCCAGTGGGTGGCCCTGTGTGCAGGTTGTCAAGGCTTTTGAAGTGAAGGTGGTCATTAATGTGGGTTTTAATGAGTGATAAAAGTGGCAGTTTATTGGCCTCATTAATATGTTCGCTCTCTTTTTTGGTTGTTGGCCTAGAGTCTTTAAGAGACATGAAGCTTCCACAGGAAGTACTTAGATTTAAGTGGCTGCGTTTTAATAACATTGTAGCCTCCAGGATTTGAACTTTTTAAAATGACTCTCTATGGAAACACATTACATTTGGTTTTCAACCCTGAATGAGTGCCATGCCCTATGAGTTTGTAAAGTGTAACATTTTACTAGGCCAAGTTTAGTTTCATGCTCATTCACAAAACCTTGTTTAATTTATGGTACGTTAGCCTATAATATAGTGAGGAAATAGGGTAGTGTGTGTTGGAGTGCCCTCATGGTCTTGAAGCATTGTCATCTGTGTTAACCACAAAGTGTAGGGGCGCAGAGCCCATGTTGCCCCTGACAGTCAGTCATACAGTTGGCTGTTTTGCTTTTTGTGGTTGGGTTCTTGATGATAAATAACTTTTTAAAGTATATCCCACAACTCTAGAATTTGCCAAATCCATAAGGAAAATGTTGGCTCATTTTAATATCTCCATGATATTGCCTGATAGTGACTGAGTTTTTGTTTCTTTTCTGTGTGTATTCTATTTAAAAATAAGTTGTGCCCCTGTTACCCAGTTTAAGGTTACCCCTAATCTGTCATCACCGTCTCTCTTAGATGTAATTTCTCTCCTGGTTTACAGAAGTTATTTCCTTGCTTTCCTTTATAGTTGTATTGTAATATCTATTATATATTCCTACAATACAGTGGTAACCTATTTGAACAATACCTGCTTAGGAGAACAGTTTATCCCTTCAATTTTGTATTTTTATTTTTTTGGTTCAGGATCACTTGACCCACATTTTTATTACATGTAGTTGTAGTCTGTTCTTATGGCTGAGTTTATTGATTGAACAGTGCACAATTTATCCATTCTCTGACTCTGAGGAATGGTGCCAGCCGTGTTGTACCTGTGTGCTGGTGCCCTAGGACAGGTCTTCAGAACATCTGCAGGTTTCCCCCACCGTCCTAACGTAGACACTTCCCGTGAAACTTTCTTATGCACTTAAAACAAAAAGCAGTTACCATTAATTCATATAGAACATTTTTGAGTGGTCCTAAACCCCCAAAATAACCCGCCAAATTATACCAATGAGCCCATAAAGCCTAGAAGAACATTAACACATAGCAAAAGGCAGAATGCACAGAGTAAGTTGAGATTCAGTATAGAAGCTCACAGTTGCAGCTCAAAGCTCTGGTGGCAAAATGCTGAGATGCTGCCTGTAGTGCCACGCTCCCTGCTCTGGGTGCCTGCTGCCTCTGTAGTGGCTCCTGCAAAGCAAACACAGGATGCTGTTTTAGATTTCAGCCTTTTTTCGTAAAAGAGAAGATCCTTTGGGACTTCTTTTGGTTATTGAAACAGATACCAATGTAGGTCTCCTAAAGTGAAGGGGCAGAAGGCGAACTTTGAAAGCAGGGGATACCTGTGTGTCAGGGTGCATGAACTACTAGCTAAGTGATCCCAGTCACTGTTGCAGTTTCACTCCAGGAGCAGTGAGAGAGTCTTTGGTGATACTCAACTTCTTAGTTTTCACCATTTGGTGGGTGTGTCATGGGACTTCACTGCAGTTTGAATTTATTGAGATACTGTGATGAAAAAAGCCATTTTGACATGAGATTTATTTATTTATTTATTTATTTATTTATTTATTTTTGGCAACTCAGAGAAATTGGTGTCACAATTGCATTATAATTATTTATGAATCTGTGCAAATAAAGGTTTTCTTTCTTTTGTTAATCCAAATTTATTGGTTTTTAGAAATGGAAGGGAAGGGGGAGAGAGAGAGAGAAACATGGGTGTGCGACAAATCGATTGGTTGCCTCTTGCACACACCTTAACCTAGGGCCGAGGATGAAGCCTGCAGTTAAGGTATGAGCCTGGGTTACTTCAATCCAAGGGCTGATGCTCTATCCTCTGAGTCAAACTGATTTTCAGGGTTTAATTCTTAGTTGATGTTATGAAGCTTTAGTTAAGATAAAAGATCATAAGAATTGAAGGAAGTTGGCTAGAAATGAGTTTTCTGGAATGTGATTGGAAGATTCAAGGTTTAATTTTTGTTGGCATTATCTTAGTCATATGACAGTATTTTCATTATGTGGCTGAACTCTGTGAGTCAGTTTTCCTGCAAATCTTCTAACTTTGATGACTTTCTTTAACTGTAGCAATGCCCATCCAGGAGCATGGAGGTGGAACAGCACGAAAGCCTGTGAGAGGGCGCTGCAGTACCAAGTCGGAGAGAAGATCCACGGATTCACTGTGAGCCAGGTAAGGCCTGTCCTGTCTTCTTTAATGCGAGCTTGTGAGGGCCTTCGAGTGGACCCCGGATCTGTTTTTATCTTTCTTCCTCGCCCTGGCTTCCTCCTGCTTCATAGGTGCTCAGTGTGTGTGTGGAGTCTGCAATGAGAGTTCTTCCTAAGAACAGGTTCCCAATTCTTTCCCTGAACTCCTTCTGATTTTAGAGAGTAAATCAAACTTACTCATGTTTCTACCCTGACATCTGGCAATCCACAATGAGTGTGATAAAGACAGACTCTGAATGACCCACATTCATTCAAGTCAAGTCTTATCATCAAATACGTTTGCTGCAAGGTTATGCAAAAACTTTCTGGTTTTGAGCCATGTGAGTTTCAGAATTATGGGAAAGAGATTATGTCCCATATTTATTTAAGTTATGTTAAAAAGGATTTTAATTTTGTTCTTGTTTTGCTTAAACTTCTGCTTTTTTTTTTTCTTTAATGCAATCATTGGGAAATAGTATTTCACATGATTGGCTGGCTGTTGGCTTTCTGCTGTGCTTGACATGCTGACATGCACAAAGGCAGACAGCTCACATTCTAGAGGACCCTGCAGGGGTAATACAGGATAGTGTGATGAGCTTCATGGTGGAAGTGCAGAGAGCCAAAGGAAGGCAGGAGGGGGAGGGGGGGGGGGTTACATGGTGGCAGGATAGGGAAGGTTCCTGGAGAAGGGGGTGTTTATAGAGGAGGGGGCGGTTAAGTTCAGAAGGAAAGTCACCATCTGTCTCTAGGGCCACATTGGCAGAGCCAATGATGTGGGGCTCTCCCAGGCAGGGTCCTAGAACAGTGAATCATGACAGGGTGAGTCCTAAAGGCCATGAAGAGGGATGAGGATTTCTACAGTATGGTAATGACGCCTTATTTGGATTCTTTTATTTTTCAAGGTTTTCTCCCCCAGTTTTATTGAGAAATAATTGACATCCATCACTGTATAAATTTAAGGTGAGCAGCAAGCATGTCCAACTCACGGCTAGCGGGCCACATGCCTCATTTATTTAAACAGCCGAGAGTTTGACATGCTTGGTGTACAGCATGATGGTTTGATTTTCATGTATCTGAAATGATTATAACAATACGTTCAGCTAACTTCTTTTATTTTTCAAATGTAATGGACATATGAGAAACCTTATCATCTTTGAAAAATAGTTACTGTGAAAGCTGTTATGAGACAGATATCTCACTGTACTACTGATCTAAGACATTAATCATCTCTTGTAAAGTATAGTAAGTTCTGAGATACAAATAATTTAATAGCTGTAAATTACAGCTCAGGCTTCCCAGGTCTAAGCTCTACCCTCTAGTATCTTGCCATGACAAGTTACTCACATAGCCTCCGAGAAGTGGGGATAACAGCCACGTGGTTGGTGGTCACAGAGACAGTGTTGTGATTGAAGGAGAGAGGCCCTAGTGCAGTTGGACAGGAGGACAGCTTCAGTACTGGGGACTGTAGATTTACGTGAAGGCTGATACAGAAAGAGAGGACCGCCTTCTGGGAAGGTGAGCTCCATTTTATTGTACCATCCTGGACCCTTCCACTGAGAGCAAGTGATGTAACTGGTGATCACTTCAGTGCTGGGAACTTCTCCCAAACTAGATGAGGCCAAAAAAAGTCCCCAAGCATCCTGGCTGCCCCAGGCTAAGGCCCATGCCAGCATTTACTTCTCAGGATTGGTCTTGTTACTGAGTTGGGGTTCTTGGGTTCCCCAAGATAGAAATGGAGAGGAAACCCCAGGGAAATTTTTATTATGCTTATGTTCCAGCACAAGGAAGGCAGTACAGAAGCAAGGAAGGTCCTCTGCCCTGGCTTTTGGGCTGGTGCTGTTTGGCTGATTTTATAGTCTGGGGACAAAGTGGGCTTATGTGAGGAAGTCGGCTTTTTTGGGAAAAAAGGTGGGATTTGTGGTGTTTTCCAGTCACTGTCAGGTGACTTCCTCCTTCTGTCAGGTTGTTTGGCACCTATATCCATATGTGCTCTGTAGGGGCATGATGATAGACTGCTTATTACTTCACGTTAGGAAGGTTGTAAAGAGGTCAAACCTCGGATGGTTGTGATCAAACCTTGATCAACTGGACCTGTGGGCCAGTGGTTTAAGCAAGCAGTTAGAAGGGAGGCAAAATCAGCTACCTCTGATTTTTGAGTAGGCAATGGAGGAGTGGTGACATTTTTGTGGTTGGCTTATCTCAAATACCTTCTAAACCCCTGGTTTTTAACTTGACTTCCTGACTACCTGGTATTTTCTATTCTCGGTCCCAAGTCTCTGTGCTGTCATTCTGACATGCCAAATGAGAGCCCTCATTCCTCAGGCTGCCTGGTTTGACAAAAGGGTTGGCTCTCACTATGAGCCTCAATGTTTTCATCTGTAACAGGTGAGAATGCCTCCCTCCCTGGGTGTGATGAGCTGTTTAAAAAATGTCTGGCAAATAGTAAGCATTCTAAAAGGAGAGGTGTGTATGTATTATTGTCAGGCTAGCTCTTCCTTTCCTCATTGGTAAGGTTTGGGGTTGGGACAGGTGGTTCCTGATGTGCCTCCAGCCAGGTCCCTCAGTGGATTTCATGTAACCATTCAGAATGCCTTTCCAGTTGAGTTTGGCCTCATGTTCTTGTTGTTGATTCAGGTAACGCCTGTCCCAGAACTGTTTCTGACTGCTGTAAAGCTCAGCCATGACGGCACAGGAGCGAGATACTTGCATCTGGCCCGAGAAGACACGAATAACCTGTTCAGGTGAGTGGGCACCCTGAGAACACGTTCTTAAACGTTTCTCCTTAGAGCATCACCATGGTTTAAAGAAATGATACTGGTAGTGCCCTGAAAATATATGGGAACAATTAAATGACTACATTCTCAGCTACATATAGTAGTTTACATTTTTAGTCAGTGATTGTATGCGTTACTAGGGGCTGGGTGCATGGATTTGTGCACTGGTGGGGTCCCTTGGCCTGGCCTGTGGTTCTCCAACATCCCCTGAGGGGTCCTGGATTGCGAGAGGGTGCAGGCCAGACCGAGGGACCCCACCAGTGCACTATCGGGGTTGGGGAGGGACCAGGGGATGTTCTTCAGGGTGTGTCTGGTCCATCTCACCCACACCCAATCGGCTGGACCCCAGCAGCAAGCTAACCTACTGGTTGGAGTATCTGCCCCCGGTTGTCAGTGCATGTCACAGCTATCTGTCGAATGGTCACTTGGGCTTTTATATGTATAGAAGATTGTCTGCAAACATTTATGAGAGATTACCATGTTAGAATGGTGAATTCTAGTAATCCAGGGTAATGGCACATTTGGAAGCTGTTGGATGGTGTGAGGTAACATACCCATGGTGGCTCTTTTTTGGCTGTAGTGTTCAGTTCCGCACCACTCCCATGGACAGTACCGGGGTTCCACACATTCTTGAGCATACGGTCCTGTGCGGCTCTCAGAAGTACCCATGCAGAGATCCTTTCTTCAAAATGTTGAACAGGTCACTGTCCACATTTATGAACGCCTTCACAGGTAAGACTGACATCTTGGTCTGAGTCTGCGATTGGGTCTGTTTCTAAGATAAAGGAGGGTAGTTGGCCCCTGGAGACGAGAATAAACTTATCAGGTCTAGTTAAAAGATGTTAGAAATTTAATTCTTTAGGAAACCCACATGTGATTAGATTAGAAAAACTGGAGTTTTAGCCCTGAATTGGGTGGCTCAGGTGCTTGGAGTATTGTCCCATACACCAAGAGGTAGCAGGTTCAATTCCCAGTCAGGGCACATACGTAGATTGCGGGTTCAGTCCCCGTTTGGTGCAAGTACGGAAGGCAATAGATTGATGTTTCTCTCTTATATCGATGTTTCTCTCTCTTTCTCTCTCTCCCTTTCTCTCTCAGTGAAATCAATTTTTAAAAATTTCTCCTTCTGTGAGGATTTAAAAAAAAGCAAAAAAAAAATAGAGTTTAGGAAAAAGGCATGTGAGATTTTTCTGGAAAAGGTCAAAACTGTTTTCTTTGGAGAATATTGCTAGGAACTTTGGCATTTGTAGCATTATGTTATGTTGATGGCTGTGGTATTTGAGTTTTATTTAGGAGAAATAGGAGAGTCAACAGGCTGGCGGTGTGCACAGAAGTGCTATTACAAATGCAGTTAAAGAGCATATTCATGGGCTGCCTTGAACCGTAGTTCCTGGTGTTTTAAAACCTTCCCTTTTGTTTTCATTCAGCTAGTGACTATACTCTATACCCGTTTTCCACACAAAACCCCAAGGACTTCCGGAATCTCCTGTCCGTGTATTTGGATGCGGCCTTTTTTCCCTGCTTGCGAGAACTCGATTTCTGGCAGGAGGGATGGCGACTGGAACATGAGAATCCGAGTGATCCCAAGACAGCCTTGGTCTTCAAGGGGGTTGTCTTCAATGAGATGAAGGGAGCGTTTGTGAGTTTTTTTCCTTTCTATATTGTATTAATAAAAGCATCGGACTCTGTAAAATATGGAAATATAAGTAGGTATGAAAATAATTGACATCCTGTTATGTCATTTAATATTCTCATCATGTGAGGTTTATTAGCTTGGTGACAATGAAGGGCTAGGCTCCCGGTCACCCTAGAACTCGCTTCTCCAGATGAGCAGTTCTGTGGTCTGGGGATCCCATATGTGATCTGCAGGATGTCTGTGAGAAAACAATGTTTTCATGACTGAAGTAAGACATCCTTTCTACTTTATTCCTGCCGAGCATGCAGGAGTTTCCCCAAGACCATGTTGCACGGGGTGTGATGCCAGCACAGAAGCAGGTAGAGATGCCAGCTCCCTTCCATGAAGCCAGACTTTAAAGAGATTTGTAAAACATGTAAAACAGAGTCATTTTTCTCAATAACTTTGTTTTGTATGAAAAGTATTTTTTTTAAATATTGGTTGCCATGTATTTGTGTGTTAAGTTAATGATTAGTTTTACAGTTTTAGTTTTAATTTCTAATATAGAAAAATTATATACACACACCTCTCCGTTATATTATATACACACACCTTTAATTTCTGATATAGAAAAGTTATATACAAACAAATCATCAGAAGCTCTTTGGGGACCTCATTAATGTTTGGGAGGATGAAGGGTCTGAGGCCAGACAGTTTGAGACCCTCTGTCCTGGGCCCTGCCCTAGCCCCTGACTTTGGAGACCTGCCCTGACCTGTAGTATAGCTTATGTGATCTGTGCTGCTCCCTTCCCCTTGCTGGCTGGTGGCTGTTTCTTACCTTCAGTTCTCGGTTTGGACATCATTTCTTTCAAACATGTTAAAACTCAAGTTAGGATAACTGCTTTCCCTCTGGATGTCCATGGGAGCGCGCCCATACAGATTGTGGGAAGAGGAATCCAGGACATCTTTCCCCCAGCCCCCAGCTGTGTGGCTCATCACCCAGGGCCTACTGCAAAGAGGATGTGCCCTCTCTCCCAAGAGAGCAGCCCTGGGTCCCGCGTGCAGATCAGGAGTGAACCGGGTGCTTTGTTAAACACTTGTTTATCATTGGGACGGTTTTACTCTTGAGGTGTTATAGGTATGTGGTTAACTTGCTGTGTTGTAACAATGTGTGTATTATGCTATATATGTGTGTATTTTTTTAATTTGAAGACAGATAACGAGAGGATATTCTCACAGCACCTTCAGAACCGCCTCCTTCCTGACCACACATATGCGGTGATCTCTGGTGGTGACCCACTGTGCATCCCAGACCTCACGTGGGAGCAGCTTAAACAGTTCCATGCGAGGCATTATCACCCCAGCAACGCCAGGTGACGTTTTGCTTTGAACGTTGGAGGGGAGGTGGCTTGATTAGGATTTGACTGATTTGCATTTTCTTTCACAGTGATAAGCTTCTCTCACATTTATCAGGGGAATGTCTGCTTAAAAGCCAAGTAAATTGAGACAAGATTCTTCACTTCATAAATTGCCTTTCTAATTTATTTGGACACTCAGTCGAAAGGTCTGCAGTGACACTCTCGTAGCCCAGCATGGTGGTGACCCCCCCCCCCCTCCCAGAGGAGGGCCGGGCCACCTTCCTCGTAGGGCAGAGTGACAGGTGCCCTTGGCTTCATGCCTCATTCCCAACAGCGCCCCAGGAATGGCGGCGGCAGGTATTAAACCTTGGATACTTACTTTTTGATGAATTGCTTATTTCAGAAATCATTAAAAATAAAACACTAATAAAGGGAATTACAAACAGGAGGGTTTACTCCCAATATGTGGATTTGTGAGCCTAAAATATAAAGATAGTTTCTGACATGAGATAATACCATTTTCACATTTAAAAAAATACAAGACTTGCTCAAAGTCACCTACCACAAACTCACACTTTCCAGTTGTCCCCAAAGTTGTGATGTAAAGGAGGCCCACAAATTGCCTTTCATCATCAGTATGTCTTTTTAGTACCCTTTTGTGTAGGATGGTGTCCCCTCTGTTTTCATTGAAACTGAAGAAAGTAGACAGACTGCCTCAGGATTTTCTCAATACTTATGGCCGTGGGGTTTTCTAAAAACCTTTTGGGTGTCTGATTGCCTTTATGAGGCATTGGTGGACGTGTTTCCCAAAGGGGTCTTGGCTTCAAAGACTCGGTTACCTTCGTAGTTGATGCCTGCATCCCTGCTGCATCCAGATGTCTCGGACCTGCTTACCACAGGGGGAAGCTGCAGCTGGTTTGCGGGTCTCCATGGTGACAGCGATCCCCCACTGTAAAGCTGTTTCCTGCCAGACCAATGCATAGGCTGGGGTGGTAACCAGCACCTTGCGAACACTGAGTTCCTCATCAACCTGTGCTGTTCTCTTATTCATTGACAGTTGTTGCCTGGAGCAATTTCTTCGGTAGCGTTAGCAAACCTTTCAAAGTAATTATTCTACATGAATTAGCTGGGCTTCTGTATAGAAGAGTGTTCCCCATCCATGGGGTATGGGTTACCCTGGAGACAGGATTCTGAAGGGAAAGGCAGGGTGCTTGTTTCCCTTGGCTGTCTCCAATTATGAGGAGAGGCATGGCAGCAATTGCTCTTCCAGTGAAGATATGCTTTTCTTTCTAGCCTTGTTTGGTTTCTTTTTAATATCATTATGACTCATACACATATTTTTATATATGTATATATCTGAGGTATGAGATCACATGGATTTTTAAATTAATTTTTTTATGTTCACATGTCCCAAGTATGGCCCAAGGGAGCTCCCTCAAGGTCATCCTGTCTGACAGTTTTCAGTCTTCAGTAACTTTGTTTTCTGTCCCCGCACCCAAACCCAGGCTCCTCCTGCTCCAGGTGTGCAGGTAGTCATTGCCCAAGGAGGCCTGTGACTCATGGGGACAGACATTTATAGACTAATATCTGCATTGCGCTACTGTTTGAGTGGAAAATTTTTAAGGATCTTTTAGTTACTCAGTCTCCAATATTTTTTTTTAATTTTTAATTTTATTTTTTTGTTAATACTTACCCGAGGATAATTTTCCATTGATCTTTAAGAGAGAGGGAAAGACAGAGAGGAACATCAATGTGAGAGAAACACATCGATTGGTTGCCTCCTGCATGCACCCGAGGAGCCTGTGTCCTGGACTGGAATTGAACCAAGGACTCTTTGGTCTGCAGGCCAGTGTTCTATCCATTGAGCCAAACCAGCTAGGGCTCATTCCCAAAATTTTAACCATAACCGACAACATTATATTAAAGAAGATCAACTATGAATATAACCCTTTTCCTCTGTCTGAATTAATGTGTTGTTTTCAAAATGTGTAATCTGAAATTTGTAGCCTAAAATTGAACTTTGTGAAATTCTTTATCAATCTTATATGGATTATTGTGTTATTGTAGTCAACGTCACAAAGTAGTTTAACATAAAACTTAATGGGTTTTTGTATCACCTTTATACTAGATTTAAAATGAAGAGCAGTTATTGCCAAATTTACATTTAATTAATTCTTCCTATACAGCTTTTGTTTTGTTTGCACCACCTATTTATAAAAAGAGCAAAGGCATCTGTTTGGTGTTTATAGTTAAATTAAGTGTGAAAAAAAAAGTGTTCCTCTATAAAGTTTATTTCTACTTTAAAGCCACTTGTTATCAGTATATATATATATATATATATATATATATATATATATACCTTCTGCTTCATACAAAAGACCATCTGTGTTAATTTCTAGTCTTTTAAACTAAAATAGACTAAATACATTCTCTCAAATTTTTAGGTTCTTCACTTATGGTAATTTTCCGCTAGAACAGCATCTGGAACAAATTCATGAAGAGGCTCTGAGTAAATTTCAGAAAATTGAGCCACGCACCACAGTGCCAGCTCAGAAGCCTTGGGATAAGCCGGTGAGTGCTGCCCAGAGGATAAACAGTGTTTTACCAGCCTGTTAGTATATGGAGTCAAAGACTCCAGTTGTGCATTGGTAATGGGATTTAAAATGTGGTGTAAGCTCATCTCAAGTCTAAAGATGGTTATAGTAAAGCCTCGTTTTAACAGGCTAATTAAGGTGAGGGGGTGTCCATTAAAGTTGAAAGTCCGTTATATAAGGTACTATGTTTTCCAAATGCATACCTTAAAAAATTGGCAAATTAATTAGTTTACCTGTTTTTACTTATGTGGACACATTTGTATAATTAAAATTAAGTATGTATGAAAAGTTTAATTGCATAGAAAAGTTTTCTCTATATATTACTGTAATTTTAAATTTATAATGAATACTAGTAAATGCATTCACTTGTCATCTCAAGTAAATAGTGCACATAAGAACATCTGCCACATGAATTAAAACTGCTGCAGATAGACCCACCACAAGCGTGAAACAGTGTGATCACTTGCTAATCCTTTCCCGAATATTTAGAAGCAGCAGTGACTCTTGAATTTAAATATGTAGATTATAGTTGAAGACATATAATATTTATTTATGTCAGCGAAAAATTTATTTACTACAGTGTTTTTTCCACCATATGGCCTATTCGCTAAAATTTGTTAAAAATAATAGTGAATTAATAACAAAAAAATAACCTGTTAATTTAATTACCTATAAGCAGATCTTGCTTTAAAGCATTTTAAAATCAACTAGGTGTTGTCGAAACTGGTTTGGCTCAGTGGATAGAGCGTCGACCTGCGGACTGAAGGGTCCTGGGTTCGATTCCGGTTAAGGGCATGTGCCTTGGTTGCAGGTACATCCCCAGTAGAGGGTATGCAAGAGGCAGCTGATCGATGATTCTCTCTCATCGATGTTTTTAACTCTCTATCCCTCTCTCTTCCTCTCTGTACAAAATCAATAAAATATATTTAAAATAAAATAAAATAAAATCAACTGGTTGTTAATTTTCACATGTGACATACAGACCTGTTATTCTGTGGATTAAATCTGAAGTCCATTAAGTTGAGGTCTGCAAAATTGCGTGTTTGCTTTTTTTTTTTTTTTTTATTGTCTAAAGTTTCCCTTCTTTTTCCCCAGTTGACCCCCCCTAAGCCATTCCCACCTTTGAGGGCAAGCCCCTACTACCCCAGTGTCTGTGTCCATTGGTTATGCTAATATGCATGCATGTAAGTTACTGTATTTGTTTTAAAACAAAGTTAAGCTAATGAAAAGCACCTCTTGGACCATTTTATTTATCTAGATAATCTATATTAGTTTAAACCCATTCATTTACATGCTGTGCCTACTTCATGGTTTTACAGAGAGAATTTCAGATCACCTGTGCCCCAGACTCAATGGCCGCAAATTCCTCTAAACAAACTACCGTCAGTGTCACCTTCCTCTTACCAGAGTAAGTATCCATGTGGAAGTAGGAGACTCATGTGAGCAGGGTCAGATTTAGTTCTCCAGTTAGGTATGAATGGTTGGGATTCAGGGTTACAGCAGGTCTTGGATGCCAGTGAGGTTTTTGACAATGTCTGGCATAGTTTGAGGAGAAATCGCTGAGTAGCTGTTCTAAAGGAAAGTAACTTACTTCCTTACTGCATTTTAAAGCTCAATTCTAGAGAAAAGCACAGGCTCAGAACAGAAGTCGTTACCATTGGGGTCACAGGTGGCTGAGTCTGAGAAGAGCACTGTGAACGCTGCTGAAGTACGTGGGCAGCAAGGAACCCTGCCTCGCTCCACCCATCAGGGTTGTCTGCCCTCAGAAGTTTCAAGGCTGACAGAGTTGCCCATCTTCGCAGTGTGTCTTGTCTGCCATCTAGTGGGACAGTGCAGTTTGAATTGAAGTCATACTATGTCAGAGTACTTGCACACACTCCTGCAGTAGCATTCAGTAGGTAGCTTACTGACTCTATGATTTTGGACTCCCAAAAAAGTCCTAGTTTGTAAGAGCTTTCCAAATCAAAAAAATAATGACTCTCTTTAGATGATATAACTATTAACTAGAACCTCAACTTCTTTGGGAAAAAAGTATTGATGTAGTACTGATTATAATGATTTTGAAAACATAAGGAACAATGGTTTTCGCTTTTTTCTTCAACACCCTCCCCCCATCTCCTTTAAAATGAAGAATCACTGACACATTTGAAGCCTTCACATTAAACCTTCTGTCTTCACTCTTGATCGGCGGGCCCAACTCCCCCTTCTACAAAGCCTTAATTGAATCTGGACTCGGCACAGACTTTTCTCCTGATGTTGGGTAAGTTTCATCTTCAGATGAGATCAGTAGTTTGATATTGGGGGCAGTTTTGACATTTGACAATGTGACACATTTTTATTTGTTAAACTGGAGAGTGGGGGTTACTGCCATGTAGTGAGTGGGGCCGGGGAGGTAGGATGCACATCCCGCAGTCACAAGACGGTCCCTCCTGCCCCAGCACAGAGCTGTGCACTAGAGTATGGTTCCAGTACAAGTTAACTTATGTCCCCTACAGAGAATATCTGGAAAAAGACAAGTTTTTAAGATCTCAGAATGGCATACTGATACCTGTTTTAAAAGTCAGTTTATTAAATATTGTTTGAAATCTTAAGATTTTATAAAACTGAGCAGTTCGCTGTTTTTATTTTATTTTGCCTTACCTCTAAAGTTTAAGTTGTGATGTTTAGAAATGTTAAAAAGATGTGGTGTCATGTGACCAATTAAGTCTGAGAAGCAGGTATGTGAGGATACAGCTTCCATTGCTTTGTCCTGGAGGACTTGGGAGTTGAATGTTCTTAGCTCTGTTCTGCAGTGTATTTGATCTTGAAATGAAGAAGCACATAGTAAGTGAGTGATGGAAGCCATAAGGACTGTAATATATGATAACATTTCCATTCTAGATACAATGGTTACACACGGGAGGCATATTTCAGTGTGGGCCTGCAGGGGATTGCCGAGAAGGACATTCAGATGGTCCGAGACATAATCGACAGGACCATCGACGATGTCATCATGTATGTATGACCCTCTGTACCAATTCACTAGTCTTCTGGGTTCTTAAATACTTTATAGCAAGGGCCAGCCTTCTTTATTGGGCCATTTCTACAAAACCTCACATTTAGTTGCTTAAATAGTATCTCTGCACTCTTGTTGCAAAAACATTTGCTTTAGTATTTTAGTCATTTTTATTACTAAACTAGAGGCCTGGTGCATGAAATTTGTGCACGGAGGCATGGTTGTGTGTCCCTCAGCCCAGCCTGCACCCTCTCCAATCTGGGACCCCTCGAGGAATGTCTGACTGACTGCCCATTTACGTCCAGTCCCAGGACTGCTGGCTCCCAACCTGCCTTCCTGCCTGCCTACCTGATTGCCCCTAATTGCTTCTGTCTGCCAGCCTGATCACCTCCTAACCACTCCCCTGACAGCCTGATTGACGCTTAATTGCTCCCCTGCCGACCTGATTGCCCCTAACTGCCCTCCCCTGCAGGCCTGGTCTCTCCCAACTGCCCTCCCTTTCAGGCCTGGTCCCTCCCAACTTCCCTCCCTTGCTGGCCATCTTGTGGCCATCTTGTGACCACATGGAGGCATCCATCTTTGACCACATGGGGGCAGCTATCTTGTGTGTTGGAGTGATGGTCAATTTGCATATTACCTTTTTATAGGATTGTTATATAGGATAATATTCCATGTGTAATATACCACATTGTATATCCATTCATCACTTCATAGACATTTGGGTTGTTTCCATTATTTTTGGAGGCTTGGATGAATAATGCTGCTATGAACATTTATGTATAAGCTGTTGTGTGGAGACATGCTCTCTTTTCTTTTGACTAGATAACTCAGAGTGGAATTTCTGGGTCAAGTGGTACCTCTATATTTAATTTTTTGGAGAATTTTTAAAACAAATTATTTTGCAAAATTATTGCACCAAGTTAGACCCTACCCAAAATTTATGAGAGCTTCAAATTGTCTAATGTTTAGGACAAATTCTCACAGACCTTCTACTAATTTTCTGGTTTCTGATTATTATATCCATCCTGGTGAATTTGAAATAGTCTCTTTTTGTTTGTCATTCCTCATCTGAGGTTATTTTTTCCCATTGATTTTTAGAGAGAGTGGAATGGAGGGGGAGAGACAGAGAGAAAAACATTGATGTGAGAGAGACACATCAATTGGTTACCTCCCACATGCGCCTGGCCAGGGCTAGGGATCAAGCCTCCAATCGATGGGACAGTGCACTTTGAATTGATACGTGCCCTTGGCCAGAATCAAACCCATGACCCTTCAGTCCATGGACCAATGCTCTCACCGCTGAGTAAACTGGCAAGAGCTGATTTGCATTTCCCTAATTATTAGTGATGTTGAGCATTTTTTCATTTGCTCACTGGCCCCTCTGTGTTTTCTTAGGAATAATGTGTATTTAAATTCTTGATCCAGTTTTTAATTTGGTTATGTGTTTTTTAATTCTATGATTGTGAAAGTTACTTAAATATTCTGTATTCAAGGCCATTATCAGATAGTTTGCAAATATTTCTTCCCATTATATGGCTTGTCTTTTTACCTTCTTGGTGGTGTCCTCCCATCACCATGTATTTGTCCCCCTTTATCCTTTTCATCCTCCCCGCCCACCTTCCCCTCTGGTAATCACAATACTGCTTTCTGTACCTATAAATTTATTTGTTCCTTTGTTGCTTTTTATTTTATGTCCCACATTTGAGTGAACTCATATGGTTCTTCTTTTCCTTCTGACTTAATATTATTTTTTTAATATTTTTATTTCAGAGAGGAAGGGAGAGGGAGAAAGAAATAGAAACATCAGTGATGAGAGAGAATCATTGATCAGTTACCTCCTGCATGCCCTCTCTGGAGGATTGAGCCCATAATCTGGGCATGTGCCCTGGACTGGGAATTGAACCATGACCTCCTGGTTCATAGGTTAATGCTCAACCACTGAGCGACACTGGCAAATCTGTATGTCTTCTAGGGAAAGTTAAATATTTGACCCTTTGATCAGGTCCCCTTGCCCATTTTAATTGGATTGACTTTTGAACTGTTAATGGTTTCTTACTTTACAGAAGCTTTTTAGTTTGATACAACCCATTCATTTATTTTTATTTTTACTTATCTTGCCTTGGGGTCAAGTTCATAAAGTCCTCTTTGAGACCAGTGTCTATATGCTTAGTACCTATGTTTTCTGCTATGTGATTGATTTATTTGCTTGTTTGTTTGTTTACTAGAAACCGGTGCATGAAATTCGTGCACGGAATGGGGGGGTGTCCCTCAGCCCAACTTGCACCCTCTCCAATCTGGAGCTTCTTGAGGGATGTCCAACTGGCAGTTGGACATCTCTTTCACAATCTAGGACTATTGGCTCCCAACTACTCGCCTGCCTACCTTCTTGATTGTCCCTAACCACTCCCTTGCCAGCCTGATCGGCACCTAACTATTCCCCTGCCAGCCCGATTGTCCCCAACTGCCCTACCCTGAACCCCGGTTACCCCCAAATGCCCTCCTTTGCATTTTCCCTCTTTATTAGATAGGGGTTTTTTTATTTAGCATATTAGACAGTCTTAAATGGTTTGGCTCAGTGGATGGAGCATTGGCTTGCAGACTCAAAGGTCCCAGGTTCCATTCCCAACAAGGGCATGTACCTTGGTTGGGGGCACATACCCAGTGGGGAGTGTGCAAGAGGCAGCTGATCAATGTTTCTCTCTCATAGATGTTTCTAACTCTCTACCTTTTTCCCTTCCTCTCTGTAAAAAATCAATAAAATATATGTTTTAAAAAAGAGACATTTAAAATTTCTCCATATCTGCCTGGCTAGTGTGTCTCAATGGTCGAATCCCCAGGCTGCCACCATTAGAAGTGGATCACTCCCTGGCTAGGCTGAGAACTCAGTCCTGGCTGCTGCCACTGACCCAAAGATCGCGTGGTGGAGGTGCGCAGCCCTGCCAGCCTGAGACCCCAGCCCAAGCTGCAGCCACTGACCAGGATCACACTGGGCACTGGCACCTCCCAGCCGGACACCCCAGGCTGCCGCCACTGGGCAGGGATCATTGGGGTGGGGGGGGCAGGTGCCTCCCAGCTAGACACCCTAACTGTCACCGCTGGGTGGACTTGGGGACTTCGGCAGGGCAAAGAGGACTGGACGCCGCCATCTTACAGCTATGGGCGATGCCATTTTTGTTGCGGAGTGATGGTTAATTTGCATATTACTCTTTTATTAGATAGGATTGTTTTTCTTACCTGATGATATTTTTTCTATTGATTATTAGAGAAAGAGAGGGAGGGAGAGGCAGAGACAAAGAGAAACACCAATATGAGTGAGAGACATCGATTGGTTGCCTCCTGCATACCCTGACCAGGGTTGGGAGCCTGCAACCGAGGTACATGCCCTTGACTGGAATTGAACCTGGGACCCTTCGGTCAACTCTATCCACTGAGCCAAACTAGCTAGAACTCTACTATGTATTTTATTGTTTAATGTCTTGTATTTAGGTCTTTAATCCATTTTGAGTTCATTTTTGTGTATGGTGTCAGATAGCAGTCTAGATTTTATTTTTTTGCATGTGGCTTTCTAAACACAGTTTATTGAAGAGGCTTTTCTTTCTCTTGTGTGTTTTTGGCTCTTTTATCAAAAATTAATTGCCTTGTATGTGGGTCTGTTTCTGGACTCTCAATTCTATTCCATTGGGCTGTATGTCTGTTTTTCTGTCAATACCATTCTGTTTTGATTATTGCAGCTTTGTATTAAGAAACATTTCTTTTTTTAACATCTCCGTTTTCAATATTTCTTTAGGAAAGGATTTGAAGATGATCGAATTGAAGCTTTACTTCATAAAATTGAAATACAAATGAAGCATCAGTCTGTCAGCTTTGGACTCGCCCTGACCTCTGTGTGTAATTTCTCAGTCTTTTCCTGTTTTTCCTTTTCTGATAATTTTGGAATTAGTGGTTCTTAAAAATACTGTATAATTGCATTTCATAGCAACTTTCCCATGAACCTTGAAAGTTATGCTATTTTACATCTGATAATAACTTTACTTTTAATTTATTATAGTTTGTCTTTTTACTATGTTCCTCAATTGGCTTTTTTTTTTGTATTTTATATTTATATGTAAAATAGATTTACACAGACCACTTTAAAGGAATTTATCTGTATAAAAGGCTAATATGCTAAGTGTCTCTCCTTCCATCTGGATAATGACATTAAGTAGCAATACCTGACTTCTCTCCCTAGCAACAACTAGCCTCCTTGCAGTTTCTTAAGCCCAAGAACATGGCTTGCTTTATAGCCAGGTGGAAACACTTTACACATAACCAAATGTCTGTGAAGCATTTTCCCATGCCTCATCTCATTTGATCCTCACAGAAGTCCAGGAGTGTGTAGATAGGAGACTCTGTGGAATCCTATTTTCTTTTCATTAGCCGGGTAATGGAGATTTAGAAAGCTTAGAAACTTGACCTGACTGAAAAGAAGTAAAAAATGGTGGACCTTGAAAATGACTTCAGGTTTTCTCACTGCACAGAATATAGTCAAACTCTGCTGCAGTTAAATATTTTACCCTTTATTCTCCCTGTGTGATCTTGCTTTGTATTGATATTTACTGCTGTGTTGCTGACCATTACCTGAAAGAGAAGCTTCACTGGGCTGGAAAAAGTTTAGCTACATCAGAAAGCAGGTCTAATTAAGAAAGTTTATTCTATATCTATAAAAGGCTAAGTTGACTCATCCATGCATGATACATATAAAACTCTCCCTGGTACTGAAGCCAATCGCATGTGTGTACTTCCATCTGTCATTATCAATCATGAATTTGGTTGACACTTTCTATTATAGAGAAAGGGCAAATAGCAATATTAAAATATTTATTCTAATCAATTTCCTTTCAACATGCATGAATTCATGCACCAGGCCACTAGTTGATAATTGTTGATCTGTTGGTATTTATATTTTCTAAAAGTAATTTTAAACCTGTGCTTTTTAAAATTTTATTAGGGCCAAAAATGTTTAAAATTAATTTTTTTCTCATTTTAAAGAATAGCTTAATTTTCATTATAATTAGTCATCTGTGGTATTTCTTAAATATAGAAACAGATTTTAATAAAATGGCCTGCCTTTGATGTTTGCTGAGCTAATGTGGAGGTCACTGTGTAATGTGCTTTGTGCATTTAAACCTCTGCTCCAGTACATAGCTTCCTGCTGGAACCACGATGGGGACCCTGTGGAACTCCTGAAGCTGGGTAGTCAGGTGGCTCAGTTCAGGCAGTGCCTAAAGGACAATCCAAAGTTTCTGCAAGAAAAAGTGAGACAATACTTTAAGGTAAGAAAATTAGAGAATTTAAGTCATAATTTTAAAGTTGAATTTTATAATGAAAGGAACAGTGAGGATATAATCTATATTATATAAATCAACTTCTGTTAATAAGTAAGTGACACGATTTTCTTAATTATTAATTAAAAATTGAAATGCTCATATTAACTTAAAAACTCGGTTTTCCAGAGTCAGATGTGATTTGACTATGTGCTAATTTTTTATGTATGAGTATTTGTATGTGTATGTATTAACAAAACCTCTGCACATGTTTTTGTTCTGTTTTGTTAATAGAACATACAGAATATGAGAACAAGTCACCTACATGCGTGAATATTCTGGTTATTTTTTATAAAGGATTTTTTGATGCTTGCTCCTTGTTTTTGTAGATTTCTGGGCATTTCTACTTGTAGTAAACTCCCTGGTAGATAGTTGTCAATATGGTAGAACTACTAACAATTACCTGACTGTGGTGGGGTCTGTCGTGAAGGCTGACAGCTGTACTCGGTACTGTTGTTTTGGTCATGGGGCATGATTTGGTCATTTGACCTTAGATCTCTCTAACCTATTGAAATTTATTTTGCATAAAGTTTTTGTTAATTCTTCCACCTCTGTAGTATTACATACACATGAGCATTTTGTATGCTACTGTTTTCAGTTGTTGAAATAAATAAGGAAAGCACATTAAGTCAACTAACATTTTTACATTAAATTGACATCTATTTTGTCTTCATAAACCTATCTAATAAAGAGGAAATATGCTAATTGACTCTTGTGCCATTGCAAAGAGGGCAGTGCCTAGGGCTGGCCCAAGCTATAGGCAAGCCTTGGATGGTGGCTGCCCAGGGCCGACCGAGGCTCAGGTAACCAAAGCTGGCCGAGGCTTGTGCTGCTGGCAGTGGCAGTAGCAGAGGTGTGATGGGACTTCCCCTGATCACCAGGTCACCTCCCACACCTGAGGGCTCCCAGACTGTGAGAGGGGGCTGGTCGGGCTGAGGGACACCCCCCTAGTTTATAATATATTGAATGAAGACTCAGCCTTTGAGATTAATAGTATAATGAGGACTAGATAATAATTGTTTTCTATATTGTATTCAATGTAGACTAAAGTTAAAAATTTATATTAGAAAGTGTAAACAGTTTCCTTGTGTAACCAAGATGTAAAGAAAATGTTGAGTACTGATACATTTATGGTTGCAACATCATAATAATCATACTAATAATAGTAGCACAGCATATATGAATTACGTAGTTTCTATAATACAAAGCAGGTATGATTGCAAGAATTTTATCTGGCTCACTCACTTTCTCCAAGACAACCTTTGGGTGGTGCTGTCCTCACTATTTGAAATGGAAGGTGGCACACAGGCAGAGAGGCTGGTTCAGCATGTCTGGCTTTAGTAACATCTTGTTTACATTTGGCTCTTTTGTTGCTGTGGATGTTGCAGAATAATCAGCATAAATTGACGTTATCAATGAAACCAGATGACAAGTATTCCGAGAAACAAGCACAAATGGAAACAGAAAAACTGCAGCAAAAGGTCAGCGCTCTTTCCCTGGAGGACAAGCAGCAGATCTATGACAAAGGTCAGACTCTCAATATTGTTCCTGGTCGTTCCTTAGCCTTTGTCCAACCCTGGTGAACTTCTTACTGAGGATATAGTTGCAAGCAAGTCTTATTTTGACCAACAGGTATTTGTTGGGGACCTGTGAAGTTCTATATTGCGCGTTAAGGGTTCAGGCCTGATAGGATGGATGCTGTTCTCGGCAAATCCGCCCCCTGTCATTGGGCAGGAAAGGCAGGAGTGGTGGAAATGAGGCAGCTTTGGAAGGTGTTATCACTTCACATATTTTATAAGGACTTCTGTTTATCAGGTGCTGTAGCATGCCCCATCCTGTGTGTTGTGTTGCAGTATGTAGTGAACTGCCACCCAGTACTGTGGACAGTGTGAGCTGTACGATCAGAGGAGGCAGATCTCGTCTCAGTGATGGGGAAGGCGTGAGCTGTGGTGAAGTCACACTCTGGTCTGTGTGGTGCAGGTGCAGTGAAGACAAGTTGTAGAATTTTGTATAGCACCCAACATAATTACTGGGAATCCCAGTGTTCCTACTCTTGTTTACTTAGAAGATATGAAGTGTCTGTCCACACAAAACTAGAAATAACTCATATCTCCACCAACATGCTTTGTTCATAAAATGCAATGCTCCTGAGTCATTAAGAGGAACACACTCATTATTGATGGATCTCAAAAGCCTTTGTTAAGGGAAATTAATTATCCAGGCACAAAGAATACCTACTGGTCAATTACATTTATATGAAACTAGAAATGGCAAAAGGACAGTGACAGAAGGCAGGTGAGACCTGAGTGGGAGCAGGAAATAGCCTGCAGTGAGACAAGAGGGCACTTTCTGGGTGCTGGAAAAGGATATCATGATGGATATCATGATGTGGTGGTTCATTTGTCAAAACTTACTGAATTGTATCTTTTAAATTGTGAATTTCAACATGTGTAAAATATGTATTGATAAAGTCTTATTAAACTATACATGTAGTACTCAGAAATACAGAAATACAACTCCCATTTTGATCAAGCTAAGTTTGAGGTGATTTAATCTAGTTAAGGCAAAATTAGTGTCAACATGCAACCTATTATTCTTTATCTCTGAATTCTTTACAATACAGCTATTTTAGACCTTTCCATAAATTTATCATACTAATTGAGTAATAAACACAAATTTTTGTGAGTGCCAGTTGACAAGTTCCATCTTTCCTTTTTTTGTTTTTGTTTTAATTGAGGTCTATTTGACATACTAATCTTGGGTGTACAACAAAATTATTTATTATATGTATGTATTATGATGATCACAGTAAATCTAGTTAACATTTGCCACCATACATATAGGTTTTTTTCTTGTGATGAAAACTTTTAAGATTTAATCAGTAACTTTCAAATATGCAATATAGTGTTACTAACTTTAGTCACCATGTTAGATATTACATCTCCTGACTTATTTTATAACCAGAAGTTTGTACCTTTGACCCCTTTCACTTATTTTCCACCTCCCACCCCTATCTTTGGCAACCATCAATTTGTTATCTGTATCTATGAGCTTGGTTTTCTTCGTTTCTGTATTTTTTTATTCCACATATAACTGAGATCATATGGTATTTGTTTTTCTCTAACTCATTCATTTAGAATAATGCCCTCATTTCATTTGTGTTGTTACAAGTGAAAGGATTTCTTTTTTCCTTGTTTATGGGTGAATAATATCCAATTATGTATATGTACCATATTTTCACTAATAAATTTTTTAAATTGTTTTTTAAATTTATCTTTCAATTACAGTTAAATCTATTAGTTTCAGGAGTCTAACAGAGTAGTTAGACATTTACATACCTTTCAAAGTGATATAACTAGTATCCACCAGTTATCACAGTATTATTGACTATATTTCTCACATCTTTATCCATTTGTCTATGGATGGACACATAGAATGCTGCAATGAACATAGGAGTGTATATCTCTTTTAGAATTAGTGTTTTTATTTTCTTCAAATGAATACCCAGAAGGGAATTGCTGGCTCATATGATAGTTCTGTTTTTAATTTTTGAGGAAACTCTATCCTATTTTTCATAGCAGCTCTACTAATTTACAATCCCACCAACGAATGGGGCACAAGATATCCTCATCAGCACTGATTATTTTCTAGGTTGTGTTGTTTTTTTTAAAAAATAGTAGTCATCCTAATGGATATAATATGGCATCTCACTGTGGTTTTGATTCATAATTCCCTAATGATTAGTGATGTTGAGCATCTTTTCATTTCTCTATTGGCCATCTCATCTGTCCATACTCTTTTGAAAAATGTCTATTCAAGTTCTTTGCCCATTTTTTGCTATTGAATTTTATGAATTCTTTATATTTTAGATGTAAAACTTAACAGATATATGATTTACAAATATTTTCTCCCATTCCATAGGTTGCTTTTTTATTTAGTTAATGGGTTTTTTTTTGCTGCACAGAAGGTTTTCAGTTTAGTTCCCATCCATTTTTCATTGGACTTTTTGTTTTTTGTTTTTGCTATAAATAAGATTACATTAATTTCAGATATGCTCCATTATAATTTGACATCTTTGTACTCTATGTATTTGTGCTCACCAACAAATGTCTAGTTTCTATTCATTACAATGTATTTGACTCCTTACCCACTTCATCTTCTTCACACACTCCTTTCCCTGGTAACCACTATTCTGTTGTCTGTGTCTATGAGTGTTTTTTTTGTGGGATTTTTTTTTTTTTTTTTTGTGTGTGTGTGTGTGTGTGTGTGTGTGAGAGAGAGAGAGAGAGAGAGAGAGAGAGAGAGGAGAGAGAGAGAGTTTGTTGCTTTGTTTTATATTCCACATATGAGTAAAATCATATGGTTTTTGTTTTTCTCTGACTTATTTCTTTTAGCATAATGCTCTTCAATACGTCCATGCTGTCATAAATGGCAATTAAATCAGTGAAGCCACAATGGAAAATAGTATGGAGGTTCCTTAAAAGATTAAGAATAAATCAATCATGTGATGCAGCAGTCGTTTTCTGGGTATTTATCCAAAGAAAATGAAAGCACTAATTTGTAAAGACATATGCACCCTTATATTGAAAGCATCTACACTAATAAAAGAGAATCATGCAAATTAATCATCACTCTACTACACACACAGCCAGTCAGGAGCGAGTATGCAAATTAGCCCAACCAAGATTGCAGCAGCCACAGAGCTGGAACAAGCAAGAGACTTTGGTTGTCCTGGCAATGAAGCCAAGCTTCCCGCCTGCTTCCAGCTGGCCCTGGCCTCCTCTCAAGGCTACAAAGTTTCAATTATAGAAGATAAATAAATCCCAGATACCTGCTTCCAGAGAATGCTGGCCTCTGCTCAAGGAGGCACTGAAAGAAAAGAAAAAAGGAAGGGCTGGGAGCCTGGATCGCTAGGGGGCATGGCCAGCCTGAAAACAGCCCTCAGCCCTTCTCCCAGGCTGGCCACACCCCCATGGAGTTGAGGGTCCCTGCTGGGAGGCTTGGCCAGCCTGTAAATAGCCATCAGCCCCCTCACCCAGGCTGGCCAGGCACGCAATTCGGGACTCCTGCCCTGAAGGGGATGTGGCCAGTCTGAAAATAGCCCTTAGTCCCTCACCCCATCAGTGGGTATCAGTTGGAAGTGATCATGACAGTGGGGTGGGGAAGGGCAGTTTGAAATGAGCAGGCCACCAGAGAGGCAGTTGGGAGCTAGCACACTGGCATGGGGAATAGTTCGGGCAATCAGACTGGCAGGGATGGTCAGTTGGAGGTGAGCAGGCCGGCAGGCAGAGTGGTTATGGGGCAAGCAGGCAGGCAGGTGAGCAGTTAGGAGCCAGCAGTTCTGGGTTGCAAGAGGAATGTCCAACTGCAGGTTTAAGCCTGATCCCTGTAAACCAGCAGTAGGACATTTTTCGAGGGGTCCCAGATTGGAGAGTGTGCAGGCCGGGCTGAGGGACAACACCACCACTACCTCCCCAGAGTGCACGAATTTCATGCACTGGGCCTCTGGTTATTAATAATAGCCAAGATATGGAAACAAACATCTTCCATTTTTACTTAAGGCCATTTGTGCACGAGGTAATACATGCCTAAGCAACAGGACATACGCTTCCTGAGTGATCAGATTCCTGTCCTGGCCATGGAGGTGTATGCTGTTTTAAGGAAATAGTTATCCAGTCCACACCTGTCTGTGAATGAATGGATGCCTGTATTACAAAAGCGTGCTTTTATTTTACAGATCGCTGCATAGTTCATTAAGTAGGAAAGTGCTAGTGCATTAATGGTTATTTCATCTCAGTAAGTGTTACATATGAAATTTCAGCATGAGGAACAAAGTCCAGTCTAAAGATAAACACCAAGGGAAAATGGGAATGGGAAATTATCTGACTTAAAACTCTAAATAACCTTCCAGTTTGAGGTGTCTATAATGTAACATATGAAATACTGTGAAGGGCTGTAACCCCTGCCATTGGGAGGGAGTTCACCTGGGAACAGATGAGACGATGCTAACAGTTTCTGTGCATTCAGAAAGAAGCAGTGGATATTTCAGAGGACAAGGGGGGTGGGCCTTTGAACTGTTACCAAGACTGACAAGCAAAAAGGCAAAAGACCTCCAGACCAAATGCACAGAAATAGAGAATGTCTGAGGGTCAGGGGGTTGGGTGACTTGGTTGATTGGGGTGGGGTGACAAGCCAGGTGAGGAAGGCCTTGGATATCCAAGAGGTTTGAGTGTAAGGTACATGGAGCCACATCCCCGTGGTGCTGTGGGAAGAGCTGGGGACGGGCCTGCGAGGGGAGGTGGGTCAGCCTGTACTTGGACCTGGGACCCAACCCCAGCAGAGCCTGTAACAAGCTATCCAGAAACACTCCTCTGTCTCAGGAGCTAGTTTTGTGGTCACTGGCTCTCTGGGATTTTCAGGGAGGTGGACCTGGAGATCAGGGCAGCTCAGCGACAACAGGGGATTGGTTATCTTGTGACATGATGCAGTATGTGTTTAACAGATTGTGCAGGCTGTTCCCACGTGCACTGTTCTGCTTTATCCTTGGTTATCACAGAGCCCTTTGGTTCCCTCTCCTGACAGACAGTGGTCTTGTGCAAACTCTAGGGAAGTCTCCCCTCCAATCAGACCAGTGGTAGGCAGGCCTAGAGCATGTGCTTTAAGCATGTTTATAGTTGGGACAGTAGTTTTAAAGTCCTAAAAATGAGTTCAGTCTGTCGATCTAGCATAAAACCTGGGAGTCGGGATCTGTCTGAGCAAAGTCCCATCCCCACCAGCACAATTGTTGCTTTAGAGCAGCTATTTGCAACCCGTATGCCCACAAGAATTTTTAACACACACATGCAGTACCTGTCTGTTTAGTCAGGGGCACTGACTTTTTTTCCCTGAGGTTGTCAAATAAAGTGTGAATGAATTGAAATTATATCTATTTTTTAATCAGATGAGCAAACAATATAGTTTTTTGCATGCTGCACAATTTTAGTAACTAGTTTATGTGCACCGTGAGATGAAAAAGGTTGAAAATCGCTGCTTATGCTTCTGTGTCTGGTTCGCTTGGGACTGGCAGTGCTCACACCCCAGCACTCGGCATGGATGGGTGTGAGTTCGTGACAGAGGAGATGAATTACAAAAGATCTTTTGGTTATTATTCTCCTAAATGTTCATATATTTTCTCCCCTTTTTCTCCCTAGGCTTAGAATTACAGACTCAGCAAAGCAAGGCTCAGGATGCCTCGTGTCTGCCGGCTCTGAAAGTGTCAGACATTGAACCCAGAATTCCGTTCACTGAGCTGTCGGTGGCTCTGGCAGGTTAGTGAGCTGTGGCCGGCATGGTGCCTGGGCCATGTGAACCATGGGAGCACCCCGATGACTTTGTGGTCCTGCTCTGAATGCTTCCCTGGTGCTGTTACCACTCAGTGACCACAGGCTTCTCTACCCAGGAGGGGCCTGTCCTTGCCTCCCAGTGGGGGTAGTGGGCTCTGTTCCCATCCTCTGCAGTGTGAGAGTGTGAGTGATGCTGCATTAGGTGCAGCTCCTAAAGGGCTCAGGCAGCCTTTGAGCCCCCGCCATCACTCCCTCCACCCGGCCGGCCATCTAGGCAAGGGGACAGCCTAGTGTGGAGGGATGGGAAACTCCACGCAGCGCCTTGTATCAAGGTGTGGGGAGCCAACAGGAGTTGCAGGCCGCTGGCATCTTGAATTTCATCCTGGAGTTTCCTCCCTGGTCTGTCAGTGGCTCTGGTTGGAAGCACAGAGGCCTCTCTGGAACAACTTTCCCTGTCGGAGTGGATAGTCAGCTTCCACATGGCAAGATGAGACTTCATTGCTCTGTCCTGAGGGAATTCTGATGGCAGCCTTGCACTTTGACCTGTCTCCGCCAGTGTAGGAGTGTAGAGCATGTTTGAACATCACGTTGACGTCTGTGAAGCATCTGTCACTGGCCCTTTGTTTGTAACAGGCCCTGTCCTGTTTACCACGTCTGACTTTTTGTGTGCATGTGCATACACAGGCAAAGGGGATTCTGTCTTCTGGAGCTGATCTAATCCTCCACAATTTGTATTTATCAATGAAAGTCATTAAGTGATAATTAACAGAACTAGAGGCCCGATGCACGAAAATTTGTGCAAGAATGGGCCTTCCTTCCCCTGGCTGCTGACACTGCCTTCGCTCTGGTTGGAGCTGCCTTTCTGCCTTCCCATGCTGCCTAGAGGCCCAGAGTGGCTGGGGTGGTTCGGAACGCCTGTGTCCTCACCATCATGATGATGCAAGGGTCCCGCCCCACCCCAGGCTGCTCAGTGCCTGTGTATGCAAATGAACCTGCCATCTTTGCTGGGTTGATTTGCATACTCCTGATTGGCTGGTGGGCCTGTCGAAGGTATGGTCAATCAGTATGTTTCTTTTATTAGGCAGATTAGTGGAGACAGGTCAGTTACCAGTGAGTACCTTAGTTCCTCTGCTGGTTTAGGGCACTGTGCTAGGGATATAGAAATAGAACATAGAATGTCCTCCTGGGGGACTTGGGACTGGGGGGTGCTGGGGCTTCACGGTAGGGCCATCAGGTCCTGGGGGGGACTTGTTAGGATGAGAGGTATCTGGGCTGGGTGAAGAGTGGGGCTGTGTTGCAGGAATGACAGTCCACTCTGAGTAAAGAGGGTGAAACGCACAGAGGCCAGTGGGAACCAGCTTGAATGGCATTTGTTAACCCGAAGCACGATGTTTCTCTCTCCTGATTCTTCAAAAAGCAAGGAGCACTTTAGTATTAAAGATGGTTTAAATTTTACTATATAAAAGTACAATAGGGAAATTTGTCTAAATTACAGCAAAAGAGCAGTATTTCTTTGCTAACATAAGTTTTAAACCTCCACCTTTACAAAGCACTACCATTTTAAAAATGTTAAACACTGACTGCATGATTACAAGAGTAATGGTAAAAATAAGGACGGCAAATGCCTCTTTCTCCAGCTGGGGATGTCCCCGTGCAATACTGCGCCCAGCCCACCAATGGCGTGGTCTACTTCCGGGCCTTCTCCAGCCTCAACACCCTGCCCGAGGAGCTCCGGCCCTACGTGCCGCTCTTCTGCAGCGTCCTCACCAAGTAAGACACGCTTGCGCCCTCAGCACACGCTTGTGTATTTCATTGGTGGATATTCTCTGTTTTGTTTCGATGAATTCATAGTCTACTTCTTAGTGAATCATTTTGTTTTTCATAATCCATAGCATTGTTACAATGTATAAAGGGTACAATATTTGTTGAGATCTTTCTTATGAAAATCATATTTCCTTAATAAAATATAGTACGTTCAATATTTATAAGCCTTGGGTATAAACAATATTTTCAAAATATCTATCTCAGCAACTAAGCTCTTTAAGACTGTTAAAAGAATGATGGTTTTGCATCAGAAAATGTAAGTAATTAAGTCTGACATGTGGGCCTGGGATGTCCTTGGTTTTGTGGTCTTGTCGTCCTGGGTGAGCAGGTGCCTGAGCAGATTTGAGAGCACAGGCAGGCACAGAGCTGCTGCCTGTCAGTCCTGTGTCCCTGTTCCTCTGCTGGCTCTCGGAAGCCAAGGCAGGCAGGCTGAGCGGAAGGTGATGGGAACTGGGTTCCCTTCCTACAATCCAGGTACATAGAGATTTCAAAGGGAAATCACAGCAGTAAACCACTGGGCCCTGTGTCCTGTATGCACAGGAGCTAAATGTACTGGGAGCATCCACCTGCAGAGTGACTGCACAGTTACCTGCCCTTTAAAAAATATGGCTCCCACTCTGTCCTTTATGGCTGTGACCATTTTAGAAAAACCTTGCAGTGTCACTTGGCTTAAATTACTTCTCTCATTAGGAACAGAAGTTAGAATGTTTCTACCAAAAGCAACATCAGTGTAGAGATGACTTCAGCTTTTCTTAAAAATGAAAAAGGCTTAGATTTAAATTTCACCCCCAGCACTACCAAATATTTGGCCAGGTAGTCTGTGTGGGATGTTTAGGAAGAACAGAGTAGGGAAGACACAGTAAACATTTGAAAGCCTAACACTGGGAATGCAGCTTAGGATTTTACATTAGTGCTAGGCAGCGGCTGCCTGGGTGTCTGGTGAACTGGACAGGGCTGAGCGGCCCCCTTAACGGGAGACCCGGTTTCTCCTGGGGAGAGGGCCCTGACCACTCAGCCTGCGTGTACCTTTGAGGTGTGAGAGGTTTGTACAGGTGTGGTTCTTGGATTGAGCCAAGCTCGTACTTCAAGATGACGGGGCCGTTGGTGATTTGGGAACTCCCTGTGTTCACAGGCTGGGCTGCGGCGTCCTCGACTACAGGCAGCTGGCTCAGCAGATAGAGCTGAAGACGGGTGGGATGACTGTGTCTCCCTATGTGCTCCCTGACGACTCCCACCTGGACACCTACGAGCAGGTGACATTTGTGACATTTGTTCCTCCATCACAAGGTGTTTGGAGGTTGGTTTCTCTGTGTCTATTTTTTTTCCTTTAAATTATTTTCTTTCCGGATTTAGGGAATATTTTTTTCATCTTTCTGCCTCGAGAGAAATCTACTAGACATGATGCACCTGTGGGGAGAGATATTTAACAGGTAACTTGACTTGCAGATATGTTAATGCTGGGGCCATATCACAGGTCTGGTCTGAAGGGTGCTGAAGGGAGGTTTTACTCTCTGGTGACTGGATTTCAGAACCTAATTCTACTTGCAATTCCTACGGACTAGTAAACTTCTGAGGATGTGTACATCGTCTGAAAACTTACACATTCTCCATGCTATTGAATGGGGACGGAAGGGCTCCAGAAACTTAGCGTACTCTTTCTTGTCCATAGCCCATGCTTTGAGGAAGAAGAACACTTCAAAGTGTTGGTTAAGATGACTGCTCAAGAGCTGTCCAACGGGATCCCAGACTCGGGGCACCTCTATGCATCCATCAGAGCCAGCAGGACCCTGACCCCTGCGGGGGACCTGCAGGAGACCTTCAATGGGATGGACCAGGTGATATGCTGAGCGGACCATTGGTTATTCTGGGTTAGCCAGATCTTGCAGCGCTAATAAAATTACCTGGTACTAAATTACTTACATCTCAGAAAAGCTAACTCTCTAACCAAATTTCATGGGGAACTACCCTCTCTCTTCCCACTCCCCTCCCATTCCCACCCGTCCCCAAGGCAGGCGAGTGCATCTGGCACACAGTCACAGAGCCATGGTTCCCTTGTCTTGGCGTCCATCTGGTTCCCAGACTAGGGAGTAGTGTCTGGTCCCTGCTGTGCTCCAGGGGCTCCCTGCTCTGCTCGGGGTGTCTGCTCTATGTGCTGGTTCCTTTGGCTTAGGTGAGGTTGATGAAGAGAATCGCAGAAATGACAGACATCAGCCCCATCCTGAGAAAGCTCCCACGCATCAAGAAGCATTTATTAAACTGCAACAATATGAGGTAGGGGTTTGTGGTTTGTTCTGAGCAAAGATAGTAATGATGCACCCACTTTCATTGAGTATAGTGTGGAGATGCTCTTCAAGCGAAAGTGTAGGTTACAGAATTGATTCTAGACTTCAGTGTTCTAATTAAGAAATCATTTCATATAGGAAAATTTCATCCTAGAACTGTGAGGTGGATTTACTACAAATATTTAGTAAATATTGCTCCCAAAAGTAAACAGCCCATGTTCTGTAAATGAGCCATCAGTGAGACCCAGGGCAGTTAGCTTCCTCAAGACCAGAGTAAAAATGCAAAGTTCTTGTGAGATTAATTATTACACAATAGTTTAGGAAAATACCTAGCAGCAGACCCATCCACATACAGTTGGCCTGAAGCCCACAGGTTTGTGAGCGTGAGCAGAATGTAAAAATGATTACCATGTATTATCAGTGACATGGATTTAGGTTAGGTTGTAGTTCTAGGAGAGTCCGAGTACCTTCCACATCAGTTTTGTGGAATCACCAGCAGGTTTTCCCCAACCATCTGGGTGGCAGGAGGGGAGCCTAAGATTGGTGAGTGGCCTTTACTGACTGCCAGTTTGGGGCCAGCACTGACTCTTGTACCCATAGTGTCTTAGGCAACTTAACCACTTGGATCTCCTCCATGAAACAATACTTTGCAGATTTATGGCAAAAAAGAAAAGAATGCATTGCAGTCAGTATCGAACCTGGAATATAGTTAATATTACTATAATGGTGTGTAATTTAACGGAAATAAATTTAGGATTCAGGGCCAAAAGAAGAAAAATACACTGTCAATTTACTGTATAGTTCATATAACTCATAGTATTATCTGTGATTCTGTAGAATTTGGAAGGGTTATATAAAAATATTTTTGAGAGAATAGGTGACAACTCACAATTTCCTACTTTATTGACCAGTTTACACCTGCAAACTCTTGACTTCTCTTCTAGACAGAAATTGCAGCTTTCAGTCCATGACTGTGTAAATGTGAAGGTGTTGGCAGGTTCAGGGATACAATATTTACAGTCAGAAATGCTGTCTTTTCATCTTGACAACTGTGTTAGCTGTAAGCCTAAGATAAGACAGGCTTTCTGATTACTTGAAAGCATTGTGGTAAAGTATCACACAGATATTTTCATATTTGGCTACTGTTTCTTTTTAATATTTTTTAGCATAATTTATACAAAAACAATATATTATCTCTTTTTCATTGTTATTTATACTAGATTGTAGTAAGAGTTTCCTGTTCATGCATGACTTTTTAAACAGATGTGCAGTGAATGCAACCCCACAGCAGCTATCTCAGACAGAACAGGCAGTGGGAGATTTCCTCAGAAGTGTGGGACGAAGTAAGAAGGAGCGGAAGCCGGTGCGCCCGCACGTGGTGGAGGTGAGAGCCCCTTCAGGGAATGGCGGGTCTTAGACTGTCCTGTGTGCAGGTGCTGGCATCCCCATTGCCGATGAGATCAGGTTGGGTGCAGCTCAGTGCTGACCCAGTTAGAAATGAGTTCAAACCCTCTCATTTGGCCTTTGACCCTGTGCTCCTCTTGTCCCTGGAGCGCTTTGGCACACTCTCCTGATGAGGCAGGACACTGGAGTCTGAGATCCGTTCTTGTAAGAACAGCCAAAAATGGCGCCCTGAGGCCCGTCCCGCTGCAGCCAGGAGGCTTTCCCCTGACTCAGCAACGCTCGGTAGGGGTAGGAATCACATCTAGTAAGCGCTAGGCAATGTGGTTAACGTCCAGAGTGCTCTAATCTCGCTCACCCGAGTCCGTAGAGAAGCAATACTCCTCACGCACGGGTCTGACAATGTGCACACTCTACAGAGGACGGACTTCTGCTTTCCTCTTTGTTATGGCCATGCGTCCCTCATCCCTGGACGGACCTGCCCCCCCCCTTCTCAGAGCCCCACCTGGAAGGGGTGTGGTGCCTCAGCTCCCAGACCATCTGAAAATCCATAGAAATCTATGTAGTTAAAACGTTTAAAACGCCAAAGCAAATGGGCCCTAACACTTGTTATTAGCTCTGAATTTTCTGCAATGTATCATCTTAGCTATTTGAAGTGAGTTTAGGATTTTTCTCATTTTTCCTGGAAACATTTTCAGAAAGCTGTGCCTGGCGGAAGTAAGGGAAGCACACACGTTAGCGGATGCCAAGTCATCAGAAAGCTGATCACAGTAAGTGAACACAGCCCTGTCATTCCAGAATTAGCCGGCCCAGCTCGGCTCTCGGTAGGCTGGTGGCCCATTCCCGGTTTCCAGTCAGTGCCTCATGGCCAGCAGGCAGGACTAGGAAGTCCTGTGTCTCATCCTGATGCCCATGCAGACCTTTGTCCCTCCACGCGGTCTCATCACCAAGCCTCTATCGTAACTTTACTGCCGAATCAGTATTAATTCACCACCAATTGGAGTGTTTTCCTGCCTGAGCACTCAGCTTGGTGATCTGGGCATTGGGTTTGGCTCATCACAGAGAGGGCAACTCACTGTGCTCCTGGAGAGAAATGGATGGAAAGGAAAGAAAAGCTCGCACAGTGACCGACGGAAATGATGTAGGACGAGCTGTTTCATTGCGGGTTTGTGGTGTGTTGTGATTGTCAGCGCCTTGTTCTCAGATGAGACCATGGCCTGTGATGCCCACAGGAAGTAGGACATTCAGAAGTCCAGGTGGCACCAGGAAGCACCTGTGGGCCACTCCCCATGACACAGCCTGACCGGGCCTTCCCTTCCCTCCACAGGAGCCCACTTTCACGCCCTGCCAGATGAAGACACATTTCCTGCTTCCGTTCCCCGTGAACTATGTCGGCGAATGTGTCAGAACTGCCCCTTACACGCACCCTGACCACGCCAGGTACAAACAAGGCAGGCAAGAAAACAAGGACTCCACGGAGGGGAAGAGGGGGCACAGCCATGGAGAGGAGAGTCAGGGAGGGGAATGAAGCACGCAGCTGCCTCTGGCTCCAGAGGAAATGTGTCACATTGCTCAGCGTTTCTGTGGATTTATTTCCGTATCCGAAGGAAATAGGCATGCTCTGAAGGAATGTGTATTTCTATGACTAGAAAGATGTAGTTGGACCATGAAAATGTCACAAGGGGTATCTATGGGTAATGGGATTATTATTACCTTTTGTCTCTTTTTTGTATTTTCTAATTTTCCAACAGTGAATGTGTGTTTATTAGGTAACATAGAAGTAATAGAAGTTTCTAAAGAAAAACACATGGAGGGTAAACCCCTGTGGGCAGAGTGGAGCCTGCCCCGTCTTTAGGAACATGCTTCTCCCTCCAGCTTCTCAGCAGGCTGTGTCCCCTGCTGGGCTGAGCGCTCACCGGAGCAGGGCAGCCTGCACTCCTGCAGGTGGCAGTCACACTGGGTGTGGCCCTCTTGGGAAGTGCTCTCCAGAACCATCCTTCTCTTTCCAGGGCCTCAGCTATTAGCATTCACAATAGAAGTTAGTGGGGACATAGAAAACGCACACTCCAACCGAGGGAAACCCTAGGGAAGATGCCGTGGAAAGTCAGGGGCCTTCCACATGCACATGCATACACTGATGTGGGGTCCAAGTTGTGGCGCCAGCGTACCCATGCTCCCTGTGCTGGGAAGAGGTTAAGAGGGAGCTAGGAGTGTGGGGGAAGGTGTGTCTACTGCCACCCGTTATTCAAGCCACTACTTTATTTTTGTCTTCACCTGATTATACACTTGATATTCTTTTAAATTTACTTCCTTGCCAGACATGGTTTTAATTTGCATTCTTTAATCATTTATTTTAGTCTGAAGATCCTGGCACGTTTGATGACTGCAAAATTCTTGCACACAGAAATTCGAGAAAAAGGTGGTGCTTACGGTGGAGGTGCCAAACTCAGTCATAGTGGAATATTCACCTTTTATTCATATAGGTGAGCTCTTATCTGACCATCTCGCACATGTGGACACAGTGTCATGTCACTGACAGTCACTGGCTCCAAATCCTCAATATCATATCTCAGACAGTGGGGTGAGCGTGAGAAACAGTTGTTCCCACTTCCCCACCTCTTGGGTACTTAACCACACCCAGCACTGTCCTTTCGGTTTTAGGACAGCAGGGAAGAACAGGAAATTTTGTTCCTTAAATGAATCCTGGCTTTTTAGTGACAAGCATGTTTCAGTAGAGGGTGACCTGAACAGTGTTCTGGTTGATGGAATCGTAGAGGCTGGGCTCCTGGCTCCACTGACTGCTCTTGCCCTTTAACTTTCTCTGCCTGAAGACACGCATTCTAATATTCTAGGGAAAGGACACATTGTGCCTCTAGGGCACTTCTCTTTACCCCCCACTGCTACACTTCTCAGCATTTCCTAGTGTCTGGGCTGGGAGCTGCAGGACAGAAACCACCACCTTAGGCCCCATCTCCCGGTCCTAAAGTCCGTAGTATGAGCAAAGGCCTCTGCAGCCCTTTCCACTGACACGGTGCCGACGCTCCAGGAGTGACCCGGATATGGGTGACGATTCCACTATTCTGAGTGTGTCCTTTGGAAAGCAGGGTTTTCATTTAACCTTTCTTAGCATTTCTCCATGAGTCTCATTCAGACCAGCTTTTCCTCCCAAGGAAGTCAAAGTGGGTGCATTTAATAACCTGGTGTGAGGCTGGGTGAACAGATCCTGTCTTCGAGGGCAGGGAGAGGGGTCAGATGGCCAGTGGCCAGGTTGAAATTTCCAGTGTTGATTTTTGGACTAAGCTTAAAGTAGAGCCGTTAACAGCTATAAAGTGTTGAAGCTGTGAAGTGAGCATGTGATTGATTGTTGCTTATTTTTGTAAACATGAGTAACTAACTCTTCGGGTCTCCCAGGGATCCACGTTCAACAGAAACACTCCAGTCTTTTGCGAAGGCTGTGGACTGGGCCAAGTCTGGGAAGTTCTCACAGCAGGACATTGACGAGGCCAAGCTGTCCGTGTTCTCCGCTGTGGACGCTCCTGTGGCTCCTTCGGACAAAGGTACGTGGAGTAGAAAACACAAGCACCTGGATGGATGGTGCAAACAGACAACTCCGGGCTGAGTTCCCAAGATGTGTATCCACCTCACCTCACCTCCCGCCGCCTCCTCCTTTGTGACACACCTTGAGGGTGAGCATCTTGGTTTGCTGCTTGAAAGGGGCGGTATTTCACCTTCTCAGAGCTTCAGTGCCCTGGGCAGTGCAACTAGAGTGGGGCAGAGACCATCCTGACTCGGCCCACACTCATCTCCATCCTCTTCCCCAAAGGGGCCTGGGTCAGGGTCAGCCTCCTAGGAGAGGGTCTGTGGAATAGGGTCAGCTGCCACATGCTGTCCCTGCCAGCTTTCACTCCAGACACTCTTGGTAGCATACCTTACCTTCCAAGTCACCTGTGTTCCTTCAGGGCTGGACCACTTCCTGTATGGCCTCTCAGATGAGCTGAAGCAAGCGCACAGGGAACAGCTCTTTGCCGTTAACCATGAAGGTCTTATTGACGTGAGCAACAAGTGAGTACTGCCACGTGGCCTCAAGTGTGAACCTGAGGGCACATGATGTGGAAACAGTCTGATCCCCACCCCCACCTGCCTTTTCAGGTACCTCGGTGTCGGGAGGAGCACCCACGGGCTGGCTCTGCTGGGACCAGAGAACCCGAAGATCGCCAAGGACCCGTCCTGGATCGTCAGATGACAAGGAGTTCCGTGCTCAGGACACGGCTAACATGGCTCAGGGGCCTCGGAGAAGTAAGCCGAGCCAAGTATCTTCCTCATTTATCAATCTTAAAGTTTTGCCAAAGGTGTGTAGTCAGCCCCAAACTCTTCTATCTTAAAGAAGGAAGTGGGTGATCATGAAGAAATGGAAATAATCATGTATTAAATGCCAGAGGTGCACAGCTGTTGAAAGACTTTCTAATAATGAAAGAACATTTATTTAAAATAAAAGGCAACTCTGACCTACCTGTGCTTTAGTTATTTTAAATGACATTTTGCTAAGTAGTTCTTAAGACCTTTAATTAAAAAAAAAAAAAAAAAAAAATGTGTTTGAGGTTAATAGTGTTAACTTGATCCCATTTTGTCTTTACTGAAGGGCTCTCATATGTTACTCACTTTACATTTTTCAGACAGAAGGTGAACTTCTCATGTTATCCTCATGTCCTAAACACGGCCACCGGCAGAGCGCCTTCCGTGTTGCACAGGTGTGCGCATTTGCACTCCACACACAGGAGTTGAGTGGCCACTGCACTCAGCAGGGCTGTCAGCGCCCTTTCCAGCAGGCTCGGATGGTCCTTAGCATTTTTAAGCAATCAAGTATTTTTTAGTTAAGGTTTGTACAGTTAGACATACTGCTCTCACACACCTAGTAGACTGCAGTATAGTGTAAGCATAGCGTTCATGTGCACTGGGGAGCCCAACATTGGTTTGACTCGCTTTACTGGCACACTGGCTCTTTTGCGGTTGTCTTCCTGTATTTCTCATCATCCGCCTTCTCTACTCTGCACGACTCCTTCCCCCACGGCTGGTGCACAGGCTGGTTCCTCTCTCCCTAGAGAGCAGAGGCTGGAGGAAAGAGGCAGAAATGCTTTTCACTCCAGACACTCTTGGTAGCATATCTCACCTTCCTCAGTGAACAGCTAGGGCTGAGGCCAAGTATAGAAGCTTACCTTCTTCCCAACACACATGTTCGTGTTGTTTTTAAAGGAGCCCCTGTGGCCGGAGTTGGTCACCTCACCTGCAGTCCTACTCTGGACCTTCTCTGCACACCTGTCAGGTCCCAGGTCTGCATGTGACAGCATTGCCTTTCCACTGTGACTGCTTCTGTTCAGCCTACTTCCCTGATCCCTATCAAATACATTACTGGTGCCTGCCCTCTAAACTGCCTGCAGACCTTCGGTAGCTGCCCCCAGATCCTGAGGGTTAACGCCTACTGAAAAAAAAAGTAAAGGCACTTAGTCCCGTGGTCTGAGTTTCAGCCAAATGTTTAATCCCACTGGAAATGCACATGGTAAAGCGGGAGACAGTATGTGACACAGCAGACAACTCACTGGAGGCTTAGGATCCAACGGGGGTGAGAAGGGTACGGGGCGGTGCTCTGTGACTGGGGTCCACAGTACTCACATAAAGTGCTGATACTGATAAATAACATAAGTGTTACAAAAACGGGCGGTAAACAGGAAGTCCGGCGAATCGAATCGCTGGCGGGCGGTGGCGCCTAGATGGCTGCAGGCTCCTCGGGGCCAAAGTGAACGTGGTCCAACTGGCTGGGTTCCGAGACCTCGAAGCTGGCCTTGTACTTGGCCAGGATCTTCATGAGGGGCCGCAGCTTCAGCCACCACTGCACTTTGGGAATTCGGTGCCTGCGGATGAGAGGCGGCAGCAGTGAGAACAGTGACTAAGGCGGTGGCGTCCCTCTGTCCGCGACTCTTGTCCCCATTCCTTCTACCTGCAGTAAGGTTTACTTACTCAAAGTCTGTCTCCTCCTTCAGCTCTGCCACGGGTCGGAAAAGGAGGTTTCTTTGGTTTATTCCCAGCACACAGATGGAATCATTCGTTACGAACTTTCTTCCTATAAAGGACAGAAAGTGACCTGAGAATGGCCGCTGGGTCGTGTGGAAAGGTCAGGTGAAATGGCCAGTGAGGCTAGCAAAGTGGCCAGAGAAGGTTTGCTGATGGGAGGGAGCAGAATCCTGTGAGGAGACTGAAGAATTGGGACTTCTCACATCCTCCCTGGGCAGAAGCCAGACTCTGAGGACCCTTGGGGCTGTGACAAGGTGGGTGGAGAACACCTTGTGAGTCCCCGTCAAGGATCGGGGAAAGAGGCAGAGATGATGGGGCACCCTCACTCCACATTAGTCCCGACAGGAGCTGTTAGCTGTGCTTGGCCGTGAGACACCCCATGGAGAGTAAGGTGGTACAGACGTAGCTCACTAAGTACTGGACTGGGAAGATGGGCTTAAACTGCAGCAAGAGTTCAGGTACATGCTGAATAAGCAAATACACTCATGACTGTGAGCAGCTGGGAATTGGTGAGGTAAGCTTCCTTAGAAGACCAGTGAAAAGAAAAATCCAGATTTATTTTTATAGGATGAAATACAAAAATAGAACTTACTGTTAAAAAAAAAACATTAGTAGAAAAAAACCAAAGCCAGTTCTTCAAAGACTAAAATGAAGCTGATACTTTACATTGCTGTGCGTGCATAAGTCAAACACTGGAAATACACTGAAACACACAGACCTGGGAAGATTGGTCAAGAAAACGGAGGGGAGGGACATACAGGTACCGGCACAGTCACTAATCCTGCAGGGATGGGACCAGAAGGGCTGCCAGCATCAAAAACAAAAGAGAATATGATGTCAATCTTCATGTCAAAGTTTTTGAAAATTTAGATGAACTTGAAAAGTTCCTTGAGAACATAACTTACAAAAGGGATGCAAGAATCAAACATGAAAAAAGACCAACAAAAATGAGCAAACAAAAAAGAAACAAAACAGAGATAGTTCTATAAACAGTAAAGAAATTGAGCAGGTCAGCTCCGCCTACCCTACTGGGAAAGGGACAGAACCTTTGATCTAAAAATCAGAACATCTTACAAATTATTTCTGAGAGGAACCCCTGATGTAGAAAGTTAGGACAAGCCTGACCTTGTACCTGACAGGGACAGGATGAGCAGGAAATGGCCAAAGCAAAAACCCAAAAGGTGTGTGTGTGTGTGGGGGGGGGGGGGGGGGGGGGAGAAGTCCCCCAGGAAGCCAAAGTGGTCTTAACACTAGGAAATGCATTAAGACTTAAATGACCATCCCATATGATGCAAAAAGTATATAAGATCCTTTCATCATTGAAAAGTATATCCAAGAGCAAGCAATAAGAAGCACAGAGAATGACTTCAGTTAAATGTTACTAAGAATTTGTAGTCCCATGTATTGAAGGCATTCCCTACTCAGAGCTGGACTAATAACACAGTGAACTCTGAAAGAAGCGACAGGATGGTTCCCACAACCCGAGGTTCTGCCGAGGAGCGGGAGGGTGAGTATGGGAGAGGCACACACTTAGGTGGACAGAGAAAACAGTCTAGCTACCTCTGCTCCTTCCTTGCCTGCTCTAAAAAGGAGTCATGAATGAAACACCACTTAGGAGCCAGTCCAAAGTGGTACAGGTGGCAAAGAAAGAAAAACAAGGAGAGGCCACATCTTGGGTCTTGCAGAGGAGCCCGGACGTGAACAGCAAATTTGTTAAGGAGCGTGTCACTGAATGACCTGATGCCTCCCATCTCGGATCAACAGGAACAAAGCATTTCGTGCTAATTACATTGACACCTAATTATAACCCTGAAAGCCATAACTAGCAAGAGCAGAGTCAGAGTTTTTAAAAGCATCACCCATGAGCAGCCCCAGCACAGGCCACCCTGCCGCTAGACACCTTTTCCTTGCGTCTCCTTCAGCTTCCCCGTGATCCACTGCATGGCCCGGGCAGAGATTTTGGTTCCAAAGTTTCTGTCAAACGGGGAAGGCGCTCCTCCCTGTGGGTGGTTATATGTTAATTAGACAACCGCATCTTCCCGGATAATTATCTTAAAAAATGAAGTGGAAATAAAATGACTAACAAAATTCACATCACACATTTGTAAGTATGGGCTTGGAGGGTCTGTTTTGTTTTGTTAAATGTTATCTCCTTGAGGGTAGCTGGGACCAGACAAAAGCAAGCCCGTGACTGCTGCCCATGAAGCTGAGCCTGTGAGGCGCGTGCCACAGTGCTTTCTTCCCCTTCGGGTCATCGTCATCACTTTAAATATTCTGTCAGGATTCCTTAACCTTACGTTGGGATGGGGAAGGGGTTCCCAGTTTCCTTTCACAAAATACACACCTGCCTAGCACTGCATCATAGATTCAGGAAATTCAGGGACCCTCTGAAGTGAGCAATGGGCCCAAAGTTAGGAGTTCCTAGGGCACCAGAGGGGTCAGTAGTGATGGGATGGGGGCAGGTGTGCGGTCAGGAGGTGGGGCCAGTGCTTCCAACCCACCCCTGCCTGTCATCTTACAGAGCGTGCCCTGAATTCTTTCCACCTCGTTCTGATTCCCTGCAAATCTCAAGTATCCCTTGTTTGATGCTCCTATTTGAATGCTTATTTTTGCCCAGTATTGAAGGAGATACTTTGAATAAGTTTTTCCAATTAATTGGTATCATATGAAAGTTGACCTTTTTCCTTAAAACACCTATCTACCCAAATTTCACAACAGATTTCGGGTGTGACTTCTAACTGGGACGGGAACATAGTTCAGATGTTTTTAATCATCTTGAACTTTAAGAATGCACATCATTTACCCACAATGGCTAAAATAAGGCGTCCATCTAAAAGAAAGTCACACCAACAGCTTCCCTTTCTGTTTTGTGGGACCCATGGGCCCCTGGTGAGGGATGGGTGGCCAGCCCTACCTGCTGCATGTGGCCCAGCACGTTCTTCCTGCAGTCGAACACCCCTCTGCCCTCCTCTGAGTAGAGCTGGTAGATGAAGTCGGTGGTGTAGTTCTCATTGCAGCTCTCGTTTCTGAAACGGGAAGTACAGGGCTCAGGGCTGGGGTGACAGGGAGGGGGGCATCTGTCCCGAGGGCGCTTGAGAGAACGTTATAGCCGCCTCAATCCTGATCCTGTGCACGACTGCACACGTTTTCTTCTCTTTATAAATGTCAGTGGCAAAG